ATTATAATGAGCATTAGCAACAACAACAGTGCGATGAAAACAATCACTACGTGGGCCAATACCATTTCAAAATTTAGGGAAGCTCGTTCTCTGAACGTACTGAGGAAGGGGAGAATTAGGCAAATTATTTTTTAAATTTTCAAAACGTGACGCTAAAAAGGTGTGAAAAAAATACGCGACGGGATACGGAGTTTATTTCTGCTACTGCTGACAGATACAAAGACTCGTAAATAATATCCTGTTTCTTGAGAATATTATTCAAAACTTTGAATTTGGAATTTCCAAAACATTTGAGAAAATAACTATCCGTACTTTTCAGCATTAATATCGTTAATTTAGTCACGGCAGAAATTCAAATGCTTCGTTAAATCAATGATAGTTTTGATTTAATCAAGTTCCCTATTACCACTTCACTAACTTTCTCCTTTCTGAATTAAGGACAGTAGCAATTTACTCAAATTCTCAGTTCAACAATGAATGATGCATTTCAACAGGAACATTTTCAAAGAATAATTTGCAAACAGCGCAATCGTCCTAATCTCAGGTAATCCAAAATAACGGGATATATGTTTGTAAGGCAGATTTTCCAGCCCTTGCAGTTGACGGTAATCTCATTATTTACTGTGCGAATGGGAAGTTGTAGGTAAACACAGTTTTATGGCTTTGCGAGAGAGAAGAATAGGATGAGCTGGGAAAGGATATCCGATTGTAATATTTTCTTCTTAATATATTTAAAGGAGGTCTTAAGTTCTACCCAGTTTTGAACAGGAAGCCGAAAACTACGACGATTTTTACCAATAAATAAAATACTTTACAGCCCTGTGTTATATTTAAAGAAAATAAATAATGAAGAATTCGCACAAATGTACATATATGTTTCTCGCATAGTGATAAAACAAAATCTACGATTTCAAAGCGACCAGTGGCAACACTATTCGGGGAAAAAAAAAAAAAAAATTATGTCCTAATTTGGAATTTGTTTTAGTATGTATTTCATATTTTGTCAGACAACGGATTTTTAATTAACAAATCAACGATTTCGAAGCGAGCAATGGCGATACTATACGGGGTTCCCCCCCCGTATAGTATTGTATCCAGCGCGCGAAAATTATCTCCCGTAAATTACCTCCAGCGCGCGAGATTGTGTATCGGAAATTTTAAAGACATGCTCTTGTAAATATTTTGGAATATTGCCTTTGAATAGAATTTTGTGGTATTTAAGTGCGAAGAACGTAATATTTAATAAGTGAAGGTAACAGACAAAACGTTAAAAAACGCCTCTTTGGGCGTAATATAAAATCTGAAAGCTTTCGGATTTTTTTTTCTAAAATTTTTGAATTCACTCATTTAAACGCAGGGATTACGCAAGCCCGCTTTATATTATGCGTTTTATTGTTAGTTTTTCACCCCCTGTCAGGTAACCCTGTGCCTCCCACTGAGCCTCTTAATTCATAAGTAACACTTTTCCGGCTACAATTCTCTGTAAAGCGATTGGGCATTCACAGCAACCGAGTTAGTCACAGCAACCATGGTAATAGTCGAATAGCATTGTATGGTTTGTCTAATAGCTCGTTTGGCTAAACTTTCTCCCTTCCTTCATTCATCGAACCTATTTAGTAGCCGGATCTTTGTAATAGAAACACTAAGTGTTTTTATTGGGGAGGTGTGCAATATTTGGCCATTTATCCAGCTTTTCTAATAAATACCGGTAATAATTACCGGATCGGTAAAGAAACGCCAGCGGCCATCATGCCTTATGTGGCGCGTTCAGTTGCACCCGCAATTCTACCATATCGAAACATGTCTTTATATATATTATATATATATATATATATATATATTATTAAATTTTACTAAAAATAATAAATATATTATGCCGAAATGGGCTTTTCTTAACGTTTTGTGTGTTGCCTTTATTTATTCATTTCCTTCGCATTTAAACCATAAAATTCAATTCAACGGCAATATCACAAAAGAATTTTAGGTACTTACATATTATCGCAACCAGGTTGGCGCGATTTGTAAGTTTGAGTAAAAAAGTATGAATAGAAAGAAAATGTACATTTATTAATTACAGATAATTTTTAATACAGTTTTTTATATTATTTTGTTTTAAAATATAAAATAGCAATTAAACCCTTCCGGTTTCGAATTTGAATAAGTTGCAGAATTATTTTTTCGGCGGAAATCTTTTGGCTATTGCTTTTAGCACTGATTGAAAACCGTATTCGCCATTAACAGCTTGAGCTTGGCGCCATATAAATTCCATAAGGTATGAGTCAAGATGTTGACATGATGTTCCTGTCTGTTTTTTGTTGCGCCATTTCGCTGAGCTCCACATGCGCTCTACATGTTGTGTGTGAAAGCCCGTGTTGGGATCCACAAAGTTATATTTGTGATCAACAGTTCCATGCAGAAATCCAGCATTTTCGAACTCACTTGTATTGTATCCTTTCCAGCAATCCGAATAAATGATGCTTCCTTCCTTGATATTTTCGCAAATTTTTTCCATGAGGGTAACGGCGCTTCTGTTAGGTACAGTACCCAAAAAAGTCTCTTTCTTTTCTCAGGGTAAATTCAATCTAACCAGTAGAAAAATAATTTTTCTTTTTACAAAAAACTACGTATAACACGTAGGGTTGCCGTAAGTAGGGTCGCCAAATTTGGCGATTTATGTGAATTTGGCCTGGTTGCTGGAATTTGGCCTGGCTGAATTTTGGCCAATCTATAACAGTTTTGTCAGCAATTCCCATCTCTTCTGCAGAAAATTTAATTGAGGTTAACTCTTTACACCAATAAATGAAGCGCACCGCTGTCACAAATGAAATTCGGAGACCTTCAAACCAATTTCCGGTTCTCACACCCAAATGTTGATTGCACTCTTCGACGTTACATTTCCAGAAGATTTGCTTTCCAAAATACAGTTTCATTTTATGAGAATTTTTACAAGTACGTTCGTTCGGTATAATTCCATATCCCTGCAACAATTCAACAGCATCTTTTTCACTCGCAGGCAGATCCTAAATACCCATAGTTAAAGTATTCCAGGGCATTCAATCTAACCAGTAAGAAAAATAATTTCTTTACGAAAAACTACGTATAACACGTAGGGTTGCCGTAAGTAGGGTCGCCAAATTTGGCGATTTATGCGAATTTTGGTCTGGTTGCGTTAATACGTAAGTACCGAATTTTAAAATGAGCTTATCTGTACAATTTCCGATACATAGTCTCGCGCGCTGGAGATAATTTTTTTTTTTCCCCTCGTACCGTGTTGCCATTCCTCGCTTTGAAATTGTTGAGGTTGTTAATCAAAAACTCACAAATGCTTTACAAAATATAAAATCTCTTGCTGCGTGTAAGCTAATAGATCCAGGGCTATGAAATTGGGTACATAGATACAAGAGCCAGTGCCCCTCGAAGCGATTTTTTCAAAATTAGACTAATTTTTTTTTTTATTTTATATTTCTTGATAAAATGGTATCATTTTGAATAATTTCATTCTTTTCGTAATGCGGTTTTGGCAACAGTTTTTCATTCACTGCTTTGGATACTGGACCGCTGACTGTTTTCTCTTGAAAATATGAGATTTATTGCTTATTTCATTGTCTTTTTTATATTATGTTTTAATTATATATAATTTAAATTGTATAAAAAGTTTTGCATGATTCTTTTTAAGAAACAATGTTCTTAACTTCCTTTATACCATTTGAATTCTTAAGATTTTGCAACGAGAATTTGGTTTAATAGGATAATCAATATTTGTATTAGGAACATTGCTTATTTCATTGTAATTTTTTTTTTATATGTGATATATTTTTTATAGAATTTTTGTTTTGTTTTGATAAAGTGATTCTGCAGAGTAAAATTCTGTGCAGAATTAAAATTTAATGCTTGGTATTCCCTTTAGGCATTTTTACGGTACATTTAAAAGCCAGACGAAGACTCGCGGCCTAGCGGCTAGTTAAATGATAAAGAATCTGCATAACGTTCTTCTCATTGTGATAACCTAACCACACATTTTGAGCACAGAATTTCACCAAACATGTACCACATTTTTTCACAAACAGACCACATTTTGAACACAATTTCACCAAACATGTACGCACTGAAGCGTTGACTTGTGAATTTCGAACTTGTTTTTCTATTAAACCTCGGACCGAATTACCAGTGTTCAGGGACTTTACCGCTCCGCAGCTGGTGTGCCTATCATAAATAGTTAGCTAACAAATTACATAAATACAGGAAACGCTTCCTCATTTTAAAAAATCATTTGTAAATAAGAATCTTCATATACGCACACATCATTTTGAAGCCGACGATTTTAAACGTTCTCGACGCATTTAAAAGGTGGTGTGGTGGTGTATTTAATTATGGCAAAGCACACTAGGGTTATCTACCTAAGGGGAAGGATGCCTTCGTGGAGGACTTTCTAAGGGAAACTTACTCGCATACACATGGGGAAAACCACGAAAACACCCATGCAGCCAACCCGTTCGCGGGATTCGAACCTCGGACCGAACTACCAGTGTTCAGCGACTTTACCGCTCGGCCGTTGGTGGGCCCGCATTTAAAAGAGAACACAAAAAAGCTTGAGAGATTAATAACAGTGTTTCCGAAGGCGATCTGCTTTCGAAATTTTTGTATGGTTTTTTTTTTTTTTTTTTTTCTTCTAAATGAGACAGATGACGATGCAGCTTAAAACTGACTTCGCGTCATTATTTTCATCTCGGTTTAGTTTCATGAGATTATGTCAAAGCCTCAAGGGTTACCTACCTAAGGGAAGGGATGTATTCATGGAGGACTTTCTGAGGAAAAACTCATCTTCATTTCGGAGTCACTTAATACTTAGGAAATATGAACTTAACCATAAATAACTGAAAAAGGATTGAAAGAATGAGGTTACAACTCTTCAATTCAACACCATTTGCATAGCAATTTAAAGTAAAAATTTGAATTATTAAATAAAGATTACGCGATACATTAAAATTTAAAATACTTACATTCCTCTCCAAATCTTTCTGTAAAGTTTGTTTTGGCGCTGTTCTTCTCCCAAAGTCTCTCAAGCAAAGAAATCTGTTTTTGCCTGAAAAAACATAAAAAAAAAAAGTTTTTATTTACGCAGTATATTTACATGCGAATGCTGCCGACTGAGAATTAAAAGAAATATACGTGTTTTTAACTATTTTTTAACCCCAATTTTTTTTTTCGATTTAGATATATAATTAAAAAGTGAAAAGTCCCATTTATTAATATACAAGTTTGTTGCTTCTAAATATCTCAACTTATTTAGAAATTAGAATTAAAAATATAACTTGAACATCTCATGCTCTGAACTATGTTACTCAATATTTCGCCATTACAATACTTCGTACAAGGAATTAAAAATGAATAGCATTCAATAATTTCATTTCTTTGGCAGCTAATAAATATTCACTACAAAAATACAAATACCAGTGTGTGTATGTATATAAAATAAGAATTTGTAATGGTTATTTAAAAATGTAAAGAATGCAGTTAAGAAGTATATGTGTACTGACACATTAAACAATTACCGCTAAAACTTTTTTTTTTTAACGATATAAGTTTTTCATCGCCAAATTCGTCGCCAAATTGTCAAGCAGCCCTTGGATAACAATAATCTTTCCCATAATCAATTGCCGTTCTTATTGTAGATTTTGCACGTCAATAAATCTTTAATTTTCCGGTGCTAAATGTTTCAGAAATAGCGCAGCTGCAACTATGGCTCTATTATTTTCTTTAGAAACATAAAGACGTCAAAATAGTTGCTCTGTTTTTTTTTTATTTCGCCCCTCCCCGTCAGGGGGGGAACGAAATAAGTCCCTGCGTTTTATTCATTTACTACCTTTACTATCGGTGATAAAATTTTAATATAGCAATACATTATTTGGATATAATACCTCGTAATCGTAAGTAACTTTCTAGAGTACAAAAAGCCTCCTTACCGTTCACGCAATGAAACTTGTTATTTCGTATCTCTTATTATATGGAAACTAAGCGTTTTAAGTACAAAAGTTTCTGCGTGCAATATACACTCATTTCCATAAATTAAGGATAATGCAAAATCAGGCAAAGGAAGAGTTAGAAGCAAAACAAATTCGACTTATTTGCAAAGCTTATTTATTAAACAAAAGGTAAAGAGCAAAAACAGATGCTATATGTTTGATATTATTAAAAAAATTAGCGATTTTTTTTCTCCCTGGAGCAAATTACCAAAAAAAAAAAAAAAAAAAAAAAAAACTTATTTACAAAAAACCAATATTACATGGTTGGTTTGATTGTTAATACATTGTATGTCTCCCAGACGATGCAATACAGTCCGTACAACGCCTAGGCATCTGAGTATCAAATTATCGATCTGATCTTGGGGGATATTACATCACTCAAAAAGCAATGCACTCCGAAGTTCCGGTAGACATGTAGAAGGAGGTTGACGGGCTGCAACTCGTCGGCCAAGCATGTCCCACACGTGTTCTACTGGTTTCAAGTCTGGTGAGAATGCTGGCCAGTCTGTACGGGTGATATCCTCCGATTGAAGGCATTCGCTTACGATATTTTGCACGGTGAGGACGGGCGTTGTCATCCATAAACACAATTGTGTGCCCCATGGCACCCCGAAACAAATGTACATGTTGTTCCAGAATGACGTCCCGATAGATATGGCTTGTCATGATTCCAATTTGAACATGAAGGTCAGTTCTGGAACCCAGAATAATTCCACCCCAAACGAGCACTCCTACACCACCGTAACGGTGTCGTTCAATGATGCTTTCTTGGCGAATTGGTGGTCAGACAGGCGCTAAACCTGCTCTCGGTACTGCTGCACAGTGACTGCTACGCAACCGCAGGTATAGAACCAATCTGCCCTAAGCGTCTGTACACGGTCTGCCTTGAAATTGTCGTACCAGTGGCTGAAGAGAGCTGACGAGGCAGGTCTCAGGCTGTGCTCCACCTGTTTGTTTTGGCAGTAACTGCCAAATACCGGTCCTTATTCGGCGTTGTAACTCTGGGGCGACCTGTGCTGTAACGTCTACTCACATTACCATCATCTGGGAATCGTTGCCAAAGCCTGGAGATGACACTCTGGGCAATTCCAAGTTTGTCTGATACTTCCAGTTGGGTACGCCCACATTCCAGACGGCCGATAATTCTACCACGTAAAAAATCATCCAAATGCGTCCTTTGTGTCATAACTATTCGGTTATTGCACTGAAATGCTTATAAAGCGCCTGCGAACAATTTTACTTCTTTGCCTGTATTCCTTATATATCACTTTCTTACACTTCTCGTCATTGTGAAGTACCATCGGTGTCATCTGGTTACTTCCTAAAATTTGCATATGATTCTTGAAGATGTGTGTAGTGATTTTACAGGTGATATATTTATTTTAGAGTTCGATTTCCACCTGACTCCGAATTATCCTTAATTTATGGACATGAGTGTATTTTGTAAACATTCAGATTTGAAGCTTTAACAAAATACGATTTTGAAATACCTTTAAACTGGGGCGATCCTGGTGAGATTTAACTTCAAAGAATAAATAGTAGTTTGAGATTTTTGTTTGCAATAATTGCTTTACAAGAACTGTAGGCATGTCCAGTAACTTAACATTCATACCAGTAAAATAAATAAAAGACTATAAAGGGTATAAAAATAAAAGACTTCATTCAAATTTCTTTCAACCGAGTTGAATGATGTTTACACAAAAGTCAATTTTGATGCATTAATTATTATTTAGCAATACCTGGCTTTTAGAACCAAGACATGATCCTTCTTGCTTTTGAGTACTTTGAGGTGACAGAATTATAACTATTAAGTGGAGAGCGCCTGTTTAACCCTTCGCTGGTTGCAAGATTAAGCAGTTCTTTCTTCCCAAATACGCGCGATATCTGTCATTTGTAAATCTGGTGATGACAATTTGTTCGTTTGCACTTACTGCTGCGCGTAACTGGAATGTGAGGTGAGTTCGTTGATGATTACCAAATTATATCGTAGTCTCAAGCGTGTACATAGCAATCTCGCGCATATCGAAAATGTACTGTATATGCAACATGTATAGTTAAATGCATAGCAATGTGATATTAGCCAGGTATCTGCAACGTACGTAAGCAGTATTTACAATGTATCCAGTATAATCGTCCATAGATTCTTCATCAAATCGTCAATCGTCCATAGATTCTTCATCAAATCGTCAATCGTCCATAGATTCTTCATCAAATCGTCAATCGTCCATAGATTCTTCATCAAATCGTCAATCGTCCATAGATTCTTCATCAAATCGTCAGTCCCATAGTCAATCGTCCATCATCAAATCGTCAATCGTCCATAGATTCTTCATCAAATCGTCAATCGTCCATAGATTCTTCATCAAATCGTCAATCGTCCATAGATTCTTCATCAAATCCTCAATCGTCCACCGATTCTTCATGAATTCGTCAATCGTCCATTGATTCTTCATCCAGTCGTCAATCGTCCATCGATTCTTCATCAAACCCGCCACTGATTCTCCGAAAAACACTTTAATAATTGATACATTAGTAATTATTGTCCAGAAAATATACTTTTGCAATCTCCTTGGCGTTGCCTGAAAAAAATTCAATTCTGAAACTTTATAAACGTCTTGTGAATTTCTTTTTGAACCCGACGGGGGCGATATGGCTACCCCTTAATATCTGACCTATAACAGCTTCTGGTTCTTTAATTTTTAGGTAGTCCCTTTCACAATAGACACGCGCGTGTGGCTTTTGCAGTGCAACGTCATAAATACTTTACCCGGCTTCGGCCCCCTTTGTGTCTAGGGAGAAGGGCAATGAGACCTTTATTTATTAGCTTTTATTTTGTCCGGGGCGTGATTTAGTGTAAGCTATTGTAAGAGGACTCGTTTTAATGTTTTTCTCCTTTCAGGGTCCCCTACGCATATTCATTGACCCTGCTCTTGGTTCGAGAATTGATTATCAACAAGTCGTTAGAGAATATTTATTATATCATATTCGTGCCTATTTTTTATTGTTGTTACAGAACGCCTTTACTTTTTAACCGTTAGCTGAAAGGGAAGTTGGGCGAATATAGTATAGAAGGAGGTGCTGGTCCGACTTGATTTATAACTTTATTATTAATTTTTAGGGTGAAAAGTTAGTCAATGTTTTGAAAGCGATTTTTTTTTAAATAGCTTTTTCTTCCTTTTATTGAGAACGGTGGCAGTGAAACGAAGTTTATGAAATATTATAATTTCATAGCTTTCAGATGGTCTTTCTTTTTATACTTAAGTTGGGTTAAACTTAATTAGGCAGACACTGAAAGTTTCTTCAAGTAAACTGATTTCAGATTTCATACGGGAAACGCGCAGCTGTTCTCAACTGGTGGTACGCAAAGAAACAAACTATTTTTACTTCCTTGTACGAAGTAAAAAGGAAGTATTGTAATCGCGAAAAGTTTCAGGCAGCATATTTCAACGAAAATATCCATTTTCACCGCTATCGAATGCAATTTAACGATGTTTTTGCGTGATATCTGTACGTAAGGACATAATAAAAGACTGGTTTCCTGCAAAACAATTATAAAACTGCTTTAAAATGAATTCTGAAGAGAATTTTTCATGGCGTCTGTACGTACGTATCTCGCATAACTCAAAAACGAGTAGCCTCAAGAACGTTGAAATTTTGTATATAGGACTGCTATAACATGTAGATGTGCACCTCGTATTTCGGTTGCAATCGGCCGCACCAAACGTACATAAATATATTTATATATATATCCATTCTGTTACCCGGCTCAGTGATTTCAGTTTCTTTACTCTTATATGATTGTAAATTGTACAGTTTTTGCTTTAAAAATGATTGAATTGTGTTGTTTTTATCTTCCGGTTAAGGATTTTATGCCTTTAGTAAATCTGTGTGCAATATTTTTAGAATTATCAGCATTTTTAGAATTTCTAGAATTAAAGTTGTTTAATTGCCGCTAAGCCTGTTTTTAATGGCGGCCATTGATGTTTCCATTTGAAACAGGAGACTAGTGGATTCGTTGCCAATCTAGAGAAACTTAGCTTCGCAACAACAAAGATAACGC